TAAGCTTATTGAAATTTTTAGTAGCAACATTTCATAAAACTATCTCAACCTGTAAAACTGGACCATGACTATTTCACTATGCACAATACAATACTAGACAAACCATGGTTCTAATAAAGAATGAAAATCAGCAACTAATATACCAGATTGTTGCATGATGATGCCACATGTGGATCCTTGGCTCCAAATCCCTTCGTAGCCTCATCTAAAGCAGCTTGGAAGAACTTCTCAGCCTCATCTAGTTTACCCTATCAGCAACAGAAGATTCATAAGATTCAAAATAAATTCAAGAAAAGAAATTGAGTCAATGGTGTTCAATTACAACTTGACTTAGGACTGCACCAAACCCAAGGAAGGACATTGTTGACACTGCAGAGCAGGTCAAGCACATAGCCTCAGGCAGGCACTGATGTAATGATTAATGCCTGACAATGGCAATATCTGAGTGCAGGCTACTTAATGTGTTGTTGTTCCAATGCTACCGGTAACAACCCAATGGAAATTAGATAATCTATAATTAACTGAAAATTTGGGCTCATATGTGACATCAGACTTTCATGGATTGGACGTTTAGACAATTGTTATGCTTTTGAAGAAGATTTTTAAAAAAGTCAAAGATAATAATCAACTTGATATTGGGACGTTGACAAATTGCCCATGACTTGATAGACTCTAAATTCTAGTGAATGGGCATGATATCAAAGTTTACAGACCAGAGGCTGGTTGACTTATGATGGAGGCAACAAACTTATTAACAGATCTTGAAAATAGCCAAGAGGTGAGCTTAAATAAGCAGACAGGTTGTAGCCATTTATGCAGACCTAAAAGCAAGGTGCAGGAGCAAAATATGTGCATGCTACTTGAATGAATTCCTAGTCTGTATCTACGGGGGACCAAGGTGTTAGTTTTACCAAGCCAACAGATTGGTGGTATGCTAATGTGCATGTAATTTCTTGTTTAGCACCAGCACCTCATTCATATAGGTTTAAGCTCGTGATCATGACATGACATGTGCTGGCATGGCCATTTCACGGTCCAGCCTGCTACGCTGCTCAACTCAAATAAGATTTGGGTTGAACACAAAATCTTAATGCTTAATATGACTTCACCATCAAATGTCAATTTCTTCTTAAACAAAAGCAGGTTAACCAAAAAAGAAAGAAGAATCCATTACATGCCTTCAGAAATAAATCCCTTCCATTATCTGTAAATATTCTCCACTTAGATGTATGCACATTTGAAATCACAGAACCATCTTCGATTTTGCGCAAACCAGTAACATGAACTTGTCCTTGATCATTTTCAGTAGCCTGTTCAGCTACAGAAGCATCTTGAGCAAAGACAGAGTTCTGATTGGACCCGAGAATAATTACTGTTGTACCACAAACCAGGATAGAAAAGGGCACTCATAGATGAGAACGCAAATTTATATAAAAATAAGAATAAGGAAAAAAAACAAGTAATAGTAAATCATAGTTGATATACAACAAGGCAATTGCTAATCTAGATAATGAAAAAGAATAGTACATCAATTTGGATAAACACAATTCTTAAATACCTCTTGGCGTATAATAGAACATACAAATGTATGTGAAGTATGGTTCGTCTTAACGGTCCGTACCAGTGTACCAACCAGATATCGGTATAATATGTACCGAACTGTACTGAGACATACAGAGTGTAGCAACACATGGTACATGTGGGTGTACCGATGTATCGCACATACCGATTTCTTGTCTGACCGATATGTACTGCCTGTACGGAGCAATATGCTGTGGTACGATGAACCTTGATGTGAAGAGCCAAAAATACAATAGCACAAAAAAACAATTCCAAGCATATGAAACAAGAAAATACAAGGAAGCAAGAATTTAAATCATCGACCAAAACCACCTGGCATCACAGGAAAAAAATATATTAAATTGGACATTGATTGGTATCTGACCCATTCGATCCAGTACCGATCAGTATTTTTATTCCTTGCTTGGAATAATGTGATATTGATTCACTTGACACTGAGAAAATACGCATCGAAGGTATTAAAAGATGTACCAGTTTGTCCAGAGATGATAATTCCCAACATCAAATCTAACCGATGCTTGTTCCAGCTAAAACCAGAATCGGAACCACAATACGAAGTTAAACCTACAAGCATGGCGACACAATTATGAGCGTCATATGAACACAAGTAGAGAAGCCAAGTTTCTCTTGAAGCACATTAAAAATAAATTGTATGACTTCAGATATCCCTCCGCAGAAATCAGTATTCAAATTAGACCATGATTGAGGCATCTTAATTTTTTCTATCCAAAAACTTAAGCCTGTAGATATTTATCAATATCATGATCCCGTGTCGCGCGTAATGCATGATGTCTCCCAAGAAACTAAGACGCATAAATGGAGAAGGAAGCAGAAGAGATTACTCGACGACGGAGCCGATCCCGCACGAAGAAGCATCCGAGGGGCGGCGAATCGACGAGGGCATCGGATTCCGCGGAGGAGCGCGGAAGCTCGGCGGATCCACATGAGGCCCAGCAAGAAACCCTACGACTCGGCTGAAGCGAAGGGAGACCGCGCTGAGACCCACGATTTATACAGATTCATGCAAATCTTGGAAACCGGGGAGAACGAGAGACGAAGCAAACGGAGACCACCGTGAGACCCGCCCGAGTCGGCGTGGAGGAGGGAGAGGCACGGAATGGTAATGTGGGCTGCGGGCTTTGGTCCTCGCATTGATATTGGGCTTTATAGTACAACATTCTACCGTGGATGCCCATTTGAATGAGCTAAGCTAAGTTAAGCCTTTTGTCTTCACATGTATACATGGAGTGGGCTCCACTTGGAACCCCCATTTTGATTCTTCTCAAAATAACAAACAAATTGTATGGAGAAATCTAGAAAGGGTCCTACAAAATTTAGTAATCCATTCCCATCATCCATCCGAGTATGCTTTACATTTATTAGGGTCAAATCAATTCTACAATATATATCTATACATCATAAGTTTCAATTATTTAGAGTGAGGAGTCTTTTATAATCATTAAAATATATAAAAAGTGATATGTATGTTTAATTAAATTTAAAATACTTAAATTTTTATTTATAATTTTTATTAAAATCTTTTTAGATCTTCTTCCACCTTTTATTTAAATTTATTTTATTAAAATTTTATTTATATTTTTTATTAAAATCTTTTTAGATATTTTTATTAAATTTTATTAAAATATTTTTATTAAAATAATTTTTAATATAAATTATTTCATCTCTTTTGACTATTATATCCATATCATTTTAAATAATTTTTTCAACTTATCTAGTAACTCTACACATCTCAATATTCTTATCTCTGTAATACAATTTGTTGTGTACATATTATTTCTTAATTATCTAATACTCATATTCATAAATTATTATTCGTCTCATAATTATTTTATAATATTTTTATCTCAAAAGGTATTTGATGATCACATAAAACTCTTACACTTTTTGTTATCTTAGCCATCATTTTTTTTACTCTATAAATAATATTTTTATCAATCTTTCTATCTTGTTGAATAATTGATCCAAGATACCTAAGACTTTTATTTAAAGAAACTTATTATCTATCCAAATTAATTATATTTTTCTATTTAATCTTATATATTTAGTCTTAGTCATACTTAATATAAGACCCTTAGTTACTTACCTCTATGTTAAGTTTATAATTAACTATACGTAAGCTCCTACTAAGTCAATATCATTGATAAATAACATACGTCGGAAAGGTTTATCATATAAGTAACTTGTAAGTTCACTAGATATATAAGACGACCTGTTTAGAAAAATACACCATCAATCCAAATTGGATTTGCTAAGTTCCTAAAATAGTAAAAAAATAGAAAAACTAATTAAATAATTACTTATATTATATTTGTTATTCAATCACAAGAGTTTGAGATGAATCCAAAAGAAAAAAACTGTTATGCTCATTTTAGAATCAAGATGAAAGATGTGCTAAACTAGACAGTAAACCACCTAAAATCGATTGAGCAATTAGCCATATCATAGTTTTCTTCAATGGTTAAAGTATAATATAAGTTGGGTAAACCTTATTGTCTTATATCCGTAAATGAATCATGTTACACTATTGTAGAATCAGGTGTGATGTAGTTTTATTCCATCTTAATTGATAACCGAGAGTAACATTATAAAATTTATTCAGTGCACCTTAATATTTCGATGTACCAAATAAATATAATACATAATGGTTTCATTAATTATCCTCTCGTTGTTCTATAAGTGCCTTAAATAAATTCTAAAAAGCGAAACACATGCATGCAATATAAATAAATAAATAAATAAAAACACATATACTATGAAAATAAAAAAAAATTAAGATAAATGAGGGCCCAACTTTTATATAGGCATTTACATTTTAATTATATATTATCCTTTATAATTAACTATCTTTAATATTTTGACTTATACACTTTCAAAAATTATATTAAAATTTTTATATTTACGAAACATTTAATTTCGTTTCTTGAAAATACTACATTTGCTAAGTGATAAATAAGATAGAATCAATACATATTCAGTGATAAACTCTATGATATTTTTATCAACAAAATCACGAGATTCGAAATTAAATATTTTACTTTTATAATTATAAAATTTTTAATATAATTTAAAATATAAAAAAATTAAAATACTAAAGATAATTAATTATATATAGAAAATAGATAATTAGTCCGCCCGGCATTTGTTATTAGTGACGACGTCTACCAATTGGCATTGTTATTTGATATGCCAACGTAGTTGGGCAAATTACCCAAACCAGAGCTGATCCTGTGTTCGTCCTTTTGCGTGTGTCCTTTACGTCTCTTCCCGGCGGATAACAGCCACTGGGAAACCAGCAGAGAGGTTGTACGCCGCTGCAGTGTCCTCCTCGTGGTAACCAAGCCAAGAAAACCAGTAGAGAAGTAAACCTGCAGTGCTTCGCAAAGCTGAGGTTGGTAGGCAAGAAAACGTGGCGTCCCACAGCCGACCACCACTGCAATTATTGATAGCGTACACCGCACGAGACTCCGCATCATACCGTCTGTCCCAAAGACAGCGGATCATGCAAACAAATCAACATATCTTCTGCCACACGCTTCGGTCTCGGCTTTTGCCTCCACCGTCACAGCTCATCCACAACGCTGCATGCATGCGAAACGTCGTTGGATACCAACACAGCGAAGCAGAGAGAATTAATGTTATATAAAGACAGGCACACAGCTCATTCCCCACAACAACTACTACATTATTGAGCTCATGGGAAGAGCATGGAACCACCCACCCTTCCATCATCGAATGTAATCTTCTCCAGCTCTTCCGGGCAAGAGGAAGACTCTCACATCAGCAATCCACCAGCAGCCATTGCAAGTCCTACATGAGAGAAAAAGACAGAATAATATATGTGATAAGCAACGCTATGAATGGACTTGACTTGACACCAGTCATCTATCCTACACACAGCATCCAACCCTCCTAAAACTTGGAAAGAGGAACAACATCGGGGAAAAGGAAATGGAACAAACAGGTTGTAATAATTTGCTTAATCACAAGAAACGAACGGGAAATAATGCTTGGGATCGATCGAACGCGGCCTCCGAGTACGTAGTTGCTCCCCGGCGTGACTCAGAGATCGGCACCGGGAGGATTCGATCCGGCCGTCGAGTCGTTCTGCTTGGAGGACTGGTCGTCACCGACGCTCCGCGGGGTGCTCTGCTGGTCCCGGTAGGAGGAAGCTGGGCTTGACCTCGAGATCTCGTCGATGCGGACCACCACCTCGGGCATCGAGGGCCGCTTGTCCGGATACTGCGCCACGCAGTCGATGGCGAGCTGCAGGAGCTGCACCATGTCCTCCTCCACGTTCTGGTACCTCAGCAGCTCCACGTCGAACACCTCGGCGGTCCATTCCTCCTTCACGACCGACTGCACCCAACGGGGGAGGTCGACGCCTTCCTCGTTCAGAAGGGCCTGCGCAGGGGCTTTGCCCGTGAGCAGCTCGAGGAGGAGGACGCCGAAGCTGTACACGTCGGCCTTCTGGGAAACCTTGCGGGGGTCGGTGACCTCCGGAGCCCGGTATCCTGCGACGCGGGTAGGGGCGGACGCTGCGCCCGCGAGAAGGGCAAGGCCGTGGTCGGACACACGGGCGTCGTACGACTTGGTGAGGAGGATGTTGGAGGACTTGATGTTGCCGTGTGAGGCGGAAGGGCCCGTAGAGTGGATGTACTGGATACCCTGCGCAGCTGCGAGAGCGATGCCCGTTCTTGTTTCCCAGTTGAGAGGTGTTCGACCGGATCCTCTGTTACCTGCGCATTTGATATGGATGTGAGTTGCATACGCAATTCATCGTCCAAGCGCTTGGATTCCAGCAAAAGAAGGTGAAGCATTCACAGGAAGGATGGGCATACCGTGCAAGAGGGCGGAGAGGCTGCCCATTGGCATGTAATCGTAGACCAGGAGCTTCTCATCCTTGTTGAAGTAGTAGGCCACGAGGGGCACCAGGTTGGGGTGGTCCATTGCGCCGATGGTCTCGATCTTCTCCTTGAACTCCCTCTCCTCCAAGTTCACGTCCTTGAGCCGCTTCACCGCCACCGTCACCCCCGTCTCGAGCACCGCCTTGTACGCCGTCCCGAACGTGCCCTTCCCCAGCACCTCCGCCGACGCCCGCAGCAGGTCCTCCAGGTCGAACGCCCTCGGCCCTCCCCCGAAGAACACCAGCTTCTTGGCCCCGGCTGAGGCAGCGGCGGTCGCCACGGTCTTGCCCGCGGCCGCCGCTGGAGCCGCCGACCCACCGTTCACGTTCGCTCCACCTGCGCCTAGACCGTTGTCCCTCTGCTCTGCTGCCGCCCCCATCTCCATCTGCTTCCCGCCCACGGCCGACGACTGCGCCTTCCTCCCGCGGCAGAGAAGGATCAGCACGACGAGCGCGATCAGCAAGAAGGCTGCGGCGCCGATCGCGATCCCGGCGATCGCCCCGCCGGAGAGTTTCTTCTTCTTGTGGTTGCTCTCAGCCCCTCCAGTGGGATTCACGGAGCCGGAACCCTCCGGCGATGGAGACGGCGCGATCTCGCCGGGGCACAGCCCGAGGGGGCCGCCGCAGAGACCCGTGGCCAGGAACGCCGTTGCCGGCTGCGAGCGGAGCTTGGCCGGTATGGATCCGTTGAGCTGGTTGTAGGACACGTTGAACTGGACCAGGTTGGCGAGGTCGAGGGCCGGAATCTCGCCGGTGAGCCGATTGTTCTCGAGGTAAAGCGTACCAAGCCGAGAGAGGTTGTTGAGCCCCAGAGGGATCCCGCCAGTGAACTGGTTGCCGGCAAGATTTAGGCGGACGAGGTTCTTCAAGGAGGAGAGGAAGGCCGGGATCTCGCCGGAGAGGCGGTTTCCCTGGAGGTAGAGGTTGCGGAGCTCGGCAAGGCCGGCGAGCTCCGAGGGGAGAGGACCGGAGAGGACGTTAAAGCGGAGGCTGAGGGTCCGTAAGGCGGTGAGGTTACCGACGGCGGCAGGGATCTGTCCAATGAGGCCGGCCCCGGGGAGGCGGAGCACGTTGACTCGGCCGGACTCGCACGAGACCCCCAGCCAGGAGCAGGGCGCCCCGGGAGCGGAGGAGTTCCACGTGGTCAGCGCGTACCGGCCGACGGCAGCGCGGAATGCGAGGAGCGCCGCGGCGTCGGACGCCAGATCTGGGGCCCCGCCGGGGAGGGAGGCCAGCAGCAAGAGTGCTCCGGCGACGAGGCGGAGCCATAGCGGCGAAGCCATGGGAGGAGCCGGTGACCGTACTCACCGCAACGACACGCGCTGTCACAGTGCCCAAGAACTAAAGCAAACCCATCAAGCGCGCACCCCGCGCACACACACACTGCCTATTTCCGTGCCGCTCTGCGCCCTCTCCTTTGTTTCTTTTAGAAAAGAAAGAGAATAGGAAAAAGGGAAAGACTGAGAAGGAACACAGAGGAGGAGCAGAAGAGTGGCGCGGGGGGTATAAAACCCTAGCTGTACCAATTTAATGATTTCATTAAGCGATAATTATTACTCCTATTTGGGTGTAAAGCAATGCAGAAAGGGAAATTGTTATGTGGCTTCGAAAGCAAGGAGATTATAGTGGAAGGTAATTTGATCGGTAGCCCAACGCATCTCTCACTACAAAATAAAAAAAAGCATGGGAGCTTAGCGATCACAGGTTGTCTTAATCTTCCTTTCTCCTTAAATTAAGCAGCAAGTGGCAAATTTTGCAGATTTTCGTGAAATAATAATATTGTGGTCGTCGGAAGGTGGAGAAGCGCTATACTGTCTGCCAAATAGTGTGATTCAGTTTAGTCAGGTGTTGGTAGGAAAGTGGAAATTGCCGCTTCTACAATTAGATCTCCAAACTCCAAACACTTTGAGCGGGCCCCACTCACGCTGGATCACGAACCGGGACGTGAGCGTCACACCCTTCGCATCGAGGACCGGGAAGGAGAACGGGTGGGGCCAGGTCAGCTCACCGTTACGGGGGACGTACTCTTACGATGCTGTCGGTTGTCCTCCAGCCCCTCGAGGTGACGCGGCAGACATCCATTGGCCGACGGAGATGCAGGGGGCACTGCCGCCGGCATCCCTTTTGCTTTCACGCTAACGGCACCGAAACGGTAGGCTTCACGGTGGTCCCCCACCAACCTCCCGCGGCCCCTCCCCTAACCACCGCTCACTAACCCCGACGAGAGGACCCGTCGGATCCGCCTGCCCGAGTCGAGGCACGGCACACGGGATTCGCACAGGACAAGTCCGTGTTCCGTGACGTGGCCGACACAGGATTCGGACCGCTGGGTCCCGCATACCACCACACGTGTAGACGACGCCGCCCTCCGACGCGCATCGACTGACGGTGACCGTCGGATCGAGGGAGGAAGCAGCGACCGTCGGATGGGGGAGGAGGGCTGTTGGGAGGTGGGAACAACTGGCCGCGACCGGCCAACCAACCATGACGCGCCTCACTCTGATGGCAGCGGACCCCACCAGCCCCCATGTGGACAGCTGTCAACGGAATCAATCTCCGACGGCCATGATGGCTTGCGCTTTTAATTTAATCGAACTTAATCTAACCCCAATTGCCTTCTCCCTCTTCTTCTCTCTCATTCATAGTTTCTCGGCCTCCACAGCGCACCGTTCTTCCAAGCATGTGGTAGGGATCCTCCACATAATATATAGACGAAAAACTCATGTATTCATCAGCTCCTATAAATCACCACACTGCCAACGACTTTCTTTTCTTTTCCTTCTCTCTGACAAGAAATAATAATGCTGACCACATACATGTACATACATGTTGTTGCCCGATCATCCCATCAAAGCAGGCAACCCACAGGTTTCTTTTTCGAAGAAGAGGACAACCCAAGAAAAGAATCTAATCTTTGATGTCCTCCTCATAATTGGTTGTCCGAATGATTTTTTGCAATTGACATCGAAACTCCTATTATTTTGTATTCTACAGAAGCCACAATTTTATCGTGGCAAGTAATCTGTAACTCTTAATCATTGATGTCTATCATACAATGTAGTCATATTTTAGATACAAAAGGTTTACAATATTCGCTTTGACACATAAGAACCTACCTAATGTGCTACATAATCAACAAGTGAAAATTTAGGCAGGAAAGTTTTCTTAAAAGAATGTGTATAAATTGATGATGAGAAGAGTAGCTGTGCGACATGATGGTCACTCTAAAAGAGTGAGATGATACTGATGAAGTCATTAATTGCACATGGATAAAGAAACAATATAAATATGAATTAGATACATGTGTGCTGTTTCATATCTGTGATGCAAAAATTATTATCATCTTAAAAGCGTTGCCCGTACATATATCCATTTAATTTACGCAATTTTGACTTGGTAATCTACCGACTCCAAGCTCAGTAGCCACACACAAAAACACAAAAACCCGAAAAAAAAAAGGAAAAAAAGGTTTATTTGGATAATGATTGACATAGATGGGGACTAACTGGATGAAAGGCCAGACAACTCCGTACCTTCACATGCATAAGCGTGCGACAATAGGTAGACCCAATCCGCATGACGATAAATCATGGTGAACTACTTTTAGCCATGTCAAGTAACATCAAGCAACAGCACCACGAGAAATAAGTCGTCCAAGAGATCAAACAGGATAAACATGTGACAACAGCATAGGTCATAAAAGAAAACAGTATATTAACTCAAACAAAATATGTAGCAGACTATTAGAACCCTCAAATCTATAATCCCTAGAATGTCTTTCATTTTGCTGATAGGACACATTAATGATAATTTCGTCATGATCATGTAACTTCACTTTTGGGCAGTTAGCAAAATAGGTTACTAGATGAAGGGATACAAAAGGTCGCTGTGAAGTTTAGACTAAGAACAGTCTCCTCCATTAAAATGTGAGCAACCTTGGCTGAGGCTAACACAAACATCTAGGTTCTTAGCAACGCTGAGAGAGTAAGTCTGCATCTAAAATCCAATGCAATCAATCATGGGAGCAATATTGTGTACTTTTACTACCAGACAATTTAGTTTAAAGACAAATCTTATAACCTGAGCGACCAAGATTGAAGTCATGAAAATAGTATCTCCATTTATAGGGGTAGATCGGTGTGCATTGTCCTCCTTAGATTCTGCATTGGTCAAACGTATTTACTTAATGATAGAGAAATGATCGTAAGCAACTCCTGCATTTACCAAGGTTTAAAAGATCAGACAAGAAAAGAATCTGCTTGTTATGACAAGAATAAGTGATGAAGATCAGCAAGTAAAAAGCTGGTCGCTTGACCAAGCTTAGATAATGCAGGCCATCTCAAGTAGAAAGTCAGCATGGTCCAGGAGACAATTGAAGGCACAACCCTTTAGCAGGAACTCTCGTGACCTCCATTGTCTTGATTACTTACAGCACAGTAGCTGAAGTGTTGGCCTTCTCACTGTTTCACAGAACTGTAGAGAGCAGAGATTCCATAACCATGAGCCTATTCATCGTTCCTCTGCTACATACAATGCCAGATCTCACAGGATTTACTTGTCTAAAGAGACAAGTGATTCATCTAAAGTCGAACAATTAATTCAGTACTGCGGTAGAAGGGGACGTACCACCAGTCATAAAAGGAATAGATCTACGATGCTACGTTCTGATATTGGCCGATTTGGCTTCTGGATCTTGCTTCTAACTCGATTACTTCACCTCTTTAAAGTTTCCTTAAGCTTGACAACATGTGCGTCTGCATTAGTCAGAAGGCATCACAGTGAGAAGTTAGTTCCCCTACTCAACCATGGATGAGCTACACCTCCACCTCAGAATGCACTTCTCCCACAAACAAATATAAAACAAGAACTAATCCAAAACATAGTATAATATTAATAAAAGACTCTATAAAAATAAAACTATATTGAATGCAAGTAACCAAAAATAAGAATTAGATCAATTACCATAGTGGAATCAAACATGTTAGGCAATTTATCTATTACATTTCAGATTCTAGCGGATTTGAATTGTGATTCTAATGCCAACCAAATGCCACCTCAGTAATTAAATACACACTTCCAAATTCTCAATAACCAGTATGTATATAGGGAACCGATCAACTTGAACAGCTTATGTAATTGAGTGAAACCAAATCAACTAGTTTGTAATATTCGACAGTTTAAAAGAAAGAAAAACCATATAAAAGTTGTGGAGTTGACAAACATTTATAAACTTAGTGGAGCAACACATTGAAATTTGGGTCTCATTACAGTCTTGAACACTACCCAGATGAATGAAAGACTGTGTTTTATTCTTTTTCCTGGTGTATATCATGATTAATTGGAGAAGTGAGATAAAGTGTAGAATACCATAAATTCCTTTCTATCAATTTACTTCATGCATCGAGCATTTCTCACAAATTTGAGATCAACCGGTACAGCTATGACCCTAACTAAGGACATTGTTGAACATAGCTCAGGAGATGCAAGATGCAAGAGAATCTTCATCTCATACACATTTTATTACCAAATTTACCCAATATGTCGGTGATAACTGATGGTAGGATCATATGTGTCATACGTGTGTGTGTGTCCGTAGATATCAGTAAAATGTAAGGTTTTCAATTGGTGTCATCTTAAGATACTGATGTAAACTACATTCAAGAATGATCATGTACAATTGTTTTCCATCCTAAATGTGTTGCACGCAAATGTAGTATGCAGTACTCGCTGCTTCCAAATTCATGCTAATATGCTCATAAACAAATTCTCCCTATCTTAATTATAGGATATCCACTAAATCCCAATTGAGATCTTAAATATTAAACCGACTCTTGCATTCATGTTGAATCCAAAAAAAACAAGGGTTCCCCAAATAATACATATAAAAGCAAATCACGGCACTAATACTGTTCTTGGAAGAAGAGTATTTGAAGATTAAAATTGGTTACCTTCGGGCGCGGGCGCTGTTGACCTCCTCGACTTCCTAATGAGGCCGAGCCTCGTGTACTAGTCTGCCGGCTTAGCCCTAATCAGGGCGCATCTGAGTTGACGGCCGCGATTCTAACGGGAAGCAGTCAGACGGCAGCGAATCTGGAGGGAGGGGAGGTCCGATTCCAGCCGCAGGGGTATCGGAGGTTGGGAGACGAAGGGGACGCTTCTACGACGAGAAAAAGGGTTTCGAGAACGACAAATAAGTACGTCAGCAAAGGCGGGAAAGAAGGCAGGTTGGGGTAAGAATATGGGTATATATATAGGCACGCATACATTCCCACCGGGGTACTGTCATAGAGCCGTAGGCTAGATCGAACCGAACCGGATCGGACCGGACCGGCCTAATCTTTCAAGATATGGCAGCGATTATAGTGCGGGGTTGACGAGCTTTAACTTCACACCGGATATCTGGATTAAGTCCTTCGATAAATGTATCCATGAGTTATCGTTTAGACCAATCTCTAGCTTGATTTGATAATCTTTCAAATTTGTTTTTGATATTCTAACACTGTAGAAGTTTGACGAATTTTGATGAGCTGTCCATCAACATTCTCGTATTCAGATGAGCCAAAACGAACAAGAAACCCTATCTTGAATTGCTCCCACGAAGGAACTCCATGACAAGTTTCATACCAATCATATCACTAGATTACATCTCCGTCTAGCTAGATTGAGGCTTTTTCTATCTTGGTTTCTTCTGGGGTCTTGTGAAAGTGAAAAAAAATTTCTGCCCTAGAGATCTAACTGGTCGAATCCCCATCTTTCTATCTTGGAAATTCTACCTTAATGCGTCGGTGGTTTGTATCACAATCTTATGGCCCTTTTCCTGTATCTCCAGATCTGTTCAATGTAGAACTTGAGTCATCATCTTGTTGAAATTTGCTGAGGCTTTCCGATAGACTCTTTTTGAAATCATTAAGTGTTTATTGTAGTTGGTTCTCAATTTTGATTTCCAATGCTTCCATTTATGCGAGTTATCGATAGTCATTGCGTAAGATTGTAAATATGTAATCCCCAGTTCTTGTTTATGATGTCTGGTCAAAGGCATCAGCATGGTCGACGTGAAGCTGCCAAGGGTAGTGCTGCGGTCGCTACGAGGAGGAAGAGTTGCTGCCCTATTTTTGTCGTTGCGTGGGATGAGAGCGCCGGGGGTTGGAAGGCGATGGCGTCGGTGTGGCTGCAGCTGCTGCGACCCAAGCCAACGATCACTGACCAGCCAAGGTTGATTTAAAAGTTACTGTTGTGTCTGATTGAGTTTGTGAATGCCAAATATTGGTAAAGAACTATATGGGTCGGGTAGGTCAATTCATTACGAGTGGATGTGAACTCAGGAAGTTTTTTTTTCTTAAAGTTAACTCCATTGCATTTTCGTCGACAACAATATAGACAGTGAACTGTAGCAAGTTGTAACAAAACAATATAGATTTTTTTTGTAATGGTGAATTGAGGTAGATATTAGAGAACATTATTAGATGTTGTGGTATTGTAATAGAGCTTTTGTTGCTCTTTGCTCGACTAGTATTTTTTTTCTTTTTTCTCAAGAGCTTGATGACCAAAGAAGTCCATTTTAGATAATTTGATTATGTGTTTTTATATGTTTTCTCACTATATTTAGAATTATTTGTGTACGCATACAAGTAAACCACATGGACATCTGATTGAAGATTCTAGTGACAGATGCATTCATGCAACTATCAGCAAATTATCATGCTGTAACTAAATACGAATTATGTAAAGCACCATGTTTTCTCAGGATGATAGTAGTTTATAGATTGTTGAAATCTGGAGGGTCTTTACAGTACATTTATGACAAATGTTGATGTCTGCCTCTCTCAGGTCATCGAGTTTGGTGGGAATGGAAGCTTGAGCTTGACAATTGTCGATGTCATGTCTGATACCTCAAAGCCTCGTAAATGGAAAGTGAAGTGGTACTCTCGAGATACTTTATCGCAATTCGTCGCTCTACTCAAAGGCAATACATTCAGGATGGACTGCTGCCCCTCTTAACTATAAAGTGTGCACCTTAAGGGGGTCCTCGCAATATTTTCTCGTATTCATTTCATTCATTCGTTTAATTTGCCGTAGATGTGCAGATGTTTTTCTTTTTCATTTTTCCAGCTCATCATATTATTTGTTTTTAATATGGCATGAAATGATCGTTCAAAGTTTGTTTCCAAATAATCTGCTGTATCATTTTGTGTTTAAACAATTGGATAGGAAAGTTTTGCATTGCTGAGTGATGTGGCATGTGAAACAGTTATTTTCATTGTTGAAGCCCAAACCTTGTTCCATAAGACCCCAAAAACCAAAAAAGATCAATCTGTTTGTACAACTCAAAAAAGATACCTCCTTGGTGTTTGCAGGTCATTACGACAGGCAGATGGAGGTTGAGAAAACAAAGCATGCATTCCGTATGTTCTCACATACCACTGCCAAGCGCGAATGGCCAAAATACTTTATGTACGTGGGTAACTGCAATCTTCTACCAAACCATTGGCATCCTTTCTGTGTTAGTGCTTTACGAACCCTGCGCTGTGTTGCCACAACAAAGGCTTGACTCTTCCGGCCAATGATGCAGATGCTGCGGTTGCTTTTATTTTTCTTCTCTTTGATTCCAGCTCTGATCTTTTACTTCCCGATGCAGATGCCGATGAGTCTGGAAAGATGGAGGAAGCCATAATTGCTGCCCGCTTGTTCTTTCTGTTCCTATCAAATTTCGAGGCAAATCTAACCGCAGCCGTTACTGCTGCATCTTCTTCTGAGGGGGGGAGAAGCCGGATGCCAAGGCCCATCCTCCTCGATACCCCCTCTTCTTCCTCGACCCTTCTCTTTTGGTTCTGAGATCAAGACATGGTACAGCGTAACTACCAGTGGCAACTCTTGATGATGTCCAGAAAGCCAAAGAATAAAAAAAACCAATGGATTCGAAGATAACCCACTCTAAGACGAGCTCGAAGGGCTCTGTTTAGGCTATAATCGTCAGCATGCCGACTGTCTGAGACTCTCTGAAGACGAACCAGCAACGGCTCGACTTCCTTCTTCTTTCTCAGATCTTCTTCTTGATGTTCGAGACGGTAAAAGGGATCAGCCAGCTTGCCTCTTTCTGCAACAAGGCCATTCAATGAGATACAAGAACTCTGTAATGGAAAAAAATTAGATACGAAACCTACTGACCGACACTGTTGTACTAGCCAGGGAGAATGAAGAAAAAAAAAAAAAGAAGAAGCACATAACTTCGTCGGCGGGAAGGGCAAATGTCTCCGCATCCTCTATATCATAATCCTCCGTCTTGCGTTGAGCCCCACTGATTATGACATATTCACAGTTCTTTGGGTCCGTCTGTATCACTATTTCATGCTTGCAACAAGCTGACTTCATGGTAAAGCTCCATATCTACCACACAAGTTACCGATTAGGCATCTAGAAATAGATATTGATCGTCGAAGGTTACAACAGGAGAAACTATACCAAGACAAATAAAGCTGATGTTAACAAAATTATTTCCCAGTTAAAGAAAAGAAGAATTTTAACAGATGTCACTTAGGTACATATGACAGGGAGTTGCATAATAACCATCCGAACCCATTTTCGCTTCATTATGGTTTATATAAACATCTACCGTATATCTGCACCCTTGATCAAGTTTTGTGATTCTATTTCTTTCTAATGCAACTACATATAAGAATTGATTCTATCCTCATCCAGAAATCTGAATGCCTCAATATGTTACAGAGTTTCCCAATATCAATACAAGGAAAAATGTTACTTGAATACTCAGCTTTAAGTCGCCCTTCTTTCCTTTTTCACATTTATTGTATTCTTCTTATCGCATATAAATAGTTGACGAATGAATCAGTAGCTTAATCATTCATCAACATCCAGATCCAACATGCGTTTTTTCAATTAATGATACATAAATATGGATATTTCTTTTTTCAAAACATGTAATTTTCCAACCTACATCAGTCTTAAATCCAACATCCCATTCTTCATCTGTATATGAAGTGCTCCCTAGAATTCCATTTTCTTAAACTTTAGATGATCAAAGTGCAGTTAGAAAAGCGGGGAAGTGATTCTTTCTCTTTACATTTCCAATTTAATTTCTTATGCTACTTGAAAACATTAAAAAAAAAAGCACTCTTCAAATACCTTCGTCGAATAATAGTTTCCCACTTGCTTTTTCTCTGCATTAAACCTTACACCTTTGGCAATCATCGAATTGCATCCACCACACCAGATATTGAAGGGCATCTCGAACCTGCACAAAAGGATCAAAGTTACGTTCATGGAAGTGTGCTAGGGAAAGTCAGAAGAAGATCAAGACTTGAAAAAGAAATTCTTTCAGTTAAAAAGTTTTCCTTTCTCAAAGGAGATATCTGCAAATATTGTTCCTACCCAAATCAAGTGAAAGAATTGATAAAGTTCCACATCGTCCTTAGAAAATTTACCAACAAAGCTTGTCCTTCTCAAGGATCAATACAATGTCTAAAGTAGCAGTTTTGACTTTTCCTAGAATATAAATTGCATCCTGATCATTTTTAAGGTATATTTTAAAACCTGCTTTAGTCCTACAAAATGCAACCAAATAAGCTATCCTAACCTTCGATCAAACAGCTTTTTACAAGTTTCCAGTTGCCTATTCAAACTTTCAAAAAACAAAAGGCATCCTAGCCACAAATTTTTGCATGTCATCCTCTCTTATCTACAATTATGCCTTCCTGATAAAAACCCCCTTAATTTTACAATCAAAGTTCACACATACATCAGGTACATGCAACATTGTACCTACATTCTACAAGGTAACATATATGCATGTGGCCAAGATCCCCTACGGTGTCTCTCAACATCTAGATTCACACTTGCCAAGTTCAGAGCATACAGTAACTTATTTGCAGATGGACATCCTCCTGTTCATATCAAATAACTCACCAAGCAGTAGACATGATGCACATCAAAGGATTGGAAGTTATATTGAATACCAAAACCCAAATCAACATTGAAAGTAATATAGAATACCAAAACCCACACAAGAGAAACATCTGAAATGTGCTACATCTTCATAACTGAATATGATAGGCTAGTAAAGGTTATAGGGTGCATTTAGGAATACATCTGAAATGTGCATTGATGGCCCAATGCACATTTCAAATACAATTTTATTTTTTGTAATTTTTCTTTTAAATCATATTTGGCATGGATGTTGCATTGCAAATGC